TTAAAGATAAATTTCTAAATATATTATAATTTGTTGATGCATTCTGAATAAAAATCCTAATATGTGTTTTCTATAAAACCATAAAACATTTTATGGAATATTTCTTTCGTAAAAGACAAGTATACTATGCTAAGTGTCAGTAGGAAAATGTCTCTAATTTTAAAACTAGTGTTCTGCACCGCTGTCAAAGTGCAACTGACTGWGATTGCAATCAAAGAACACTTCTGCGCATGTCCTTAGAAATAGAAAGTAAAATGTATTTTTTCCCCTTGCTTAATTATGGGAATCAGCATCTGTTTCAATACATGTAGGCAAGTATATCTGAATAGAAAACATTTTACATAGAATAGCTATAAGATAAGAGGATAATATTTTACCAATAATTATATTGAATAATTTATAGTACTTCAATCATTACACTGATTGTGATTATTTTACACTATTTGTAATAGATAGCAATTTGAATTAGTTAGGGGTAAGTAAAAGATTGTATTTCATTCAGTTTGCTGTGGGATTTCATCAGATATTTTACCATGTCTTTAAAAATACGAGATTTAGGGAAACATCATTTCCTTTTTTCAAATCGTTGCTTTCAGTTTTTAATGAATCAACGTCCTAATCGGAACTCAAAGGATCACTTATTGTTTTGTTCGTTTGTGGTTTTCTACACGTCACCATTTATCTTTCAAATGGTACTTTTCTGTTTTTTTTCTTTTACCCTACATGTATCTTTTATTTATTATAATTGTTTTTAAACAGTGACTCTGTTTTATCTCATATGAATTCATTTTGTTTTTATTTATTACATTTCTTATAAAATACAATTGTTTTATCCAATAGAGTTATTAATTATAATATTGTTTCGCTGTGTGATTGATACATGATTCTTATAAATATTATATACTCTTTCTATTCGTGCAGCTGTATGAACTTTTTACGACTAAAATGTTTGGAAAATCTACTTTTATACTGGTTCAAAGAATAATATCACATATTATTTTTACTTCTATTTATATTGTTGGTTATTTTCGTTTTGTAACAGTTAGTAGACTTTTATTTTTTAATTAAATTCTGTGGTGTAATGTATAGAAGAACATTTTTTATAGCAGATTCCTTTTCTAATTTAAAGATTCGATTACTTATTGTTCGTTTTAAACTTGATCACGAGAATTTGTATGATGTTGAAGAATTAAACATTTTGCAAAAGTATAACAATCAAAGCAAATCTTTTGTGTATGCTTTAATGTGTAAGTTAGAGTAATTATTAGCTATTAGTTTACAATTTATTATATTTTTTACCTATAAGTTTCTTTTACTTTTTCAGTTTTCTTTGATGTTAACTGCTTCTTAATCGTTTTCCCACCAGTTTTAAATGCTTTTTTATATTATATTGGTATATTGGATGTTCATCAATTAACATTACCATTAACCGAAAATAATATTGATCACGTTGGGA